ATGCTAGCAAGCTAGTTAACATTCGTGTCAGTTACCTATTGGCTCTCACGCTGGCCAATAGAATCTTCCTGCCTATTCGTGGCAGCCAGCTATACGCTCTAACTCTGGCCAGTAGAAAATGGTCGCAAACTACATGAAAACTGCCGTAGAAGCATGAAAAAAATCTATTATTTCCACTATTGATGGGAGTTGGGAAATGCAATGTCAGTCTTGGCCTTCCCGCTAACTTGGAGCATGTGCATGTAAATTTTGGTGCAAATCCGTTTAAAATCGTGGCCGTGCATTCGTTACACACACACACACACACACACACACACACACACACACACACACACACACACACACACACACATCCTGGCTTTTTATAGATAGAGATATTTTTTTTGTTCATCTAGTTTATATCTAGCCTCTAAAACTATTTATCCTTTTGTTCGTTATATACCTGTATATATTACCCAATGTATTCCTCTTCGATATCTTTATATTTATTTTATTGATATGCGCACTATTGTTCTTTTTATTTTTTTTTAAATCGGTATCACTCCATCAAGGCATTAAAGCCACTAAAACACAAGATTTACAGGGGATGGGAGAATTAGAAACTAATAATAAGTGGAAAGAGAAAAGAACAACCAGGACAGGAGATAGCAATTGACTGGAAAGCATGAAGCCGGAAGGAAGTTCCACAAGCGAGAAGTGTGGGAAAAGAAATTGTTAGTGATTCAATATAGTCTTTCCACTTCATGTCAACTAGAAACTTTTTATTTTTTATTTTTGCTGTTGTTATCACAAAGTTTCGTCATTTGTGGCCACCGATATGTATCATGTTTTCTTACAGTGATGTTCACCCTGTACAGGGCCCGGGAGATACGCGAGATGCTTTTCAATCCGGGTAACTTTTAGTGAATTTCGAAATGAGTTCTTTTTAATGTATTTTTCTATTTTATTTTATTGTTAAACAAGTTTAGATCTCGCTCTTGTCCTCATTTGGTACAGCACAGTTGTTGCTGGCCTCCTTCCCATTGTGTTCCGCTAATCACAACCCAGTCCAAATTCACAAACCTAAAGGTTAATCCACTAACTTCCCTGTGGCACTAATTCTTGATTCTTTCTCTCTCATGATTTCTTATCTGTTATTATTCTTTCGTGTTTTCCATTAGTCACTACTCACTCCTATCCAACTACATTATTATTTTTCCTCCTCCCCACGAGTCATTCTTTCTTCTACCCAACTCTCACATTATCTTTCTCTCGCTCCTACTCATTCCTTTTTCTAATTTATTTTTTGTGTATCTTAAAGAATAGTTTAAATATTTTTCTTTGTTTCCTTAACTTTTATTTTCTATATTTTTCAACTCCTCTTCTTCGAAACTTGTTTCCTTTCTTATTTAGTCCTAATTCTAATTTATTTTCTTTACTTCCATTTTTTTTATATTTTTCTCTTATCGTTTACATTTTCCTTGCTTCTTCGTTTATTTTTCTAGTCTCTATATTATATACCTGTCCCGTGTATTCCTGTGCCGCATTGTCCTTATCAGTCACAGACGTGCCAGGAATCGACGTGAACAGACTCCTTCTTGATCGTTTTACGAAACCAAGCTATGATATTACTAATTTCTCATTTCTTTCTCCGATATTTCCTTTCATATTTCTAGTTCTTTATATATTATCATTTTGTTTTCTTTATTTCTTAGACTTTTCTTATACATTTTCTTCCTTAGACGTTTTCTTTCTTTGACTTTTCTTCCTTTGACTTTTCTTACTTTTTCTTTCTTTCTTTCTTTCATCATTCAATTCTTTTTTTTTTTTTAAATTTTATCGCTTCCGCTGCATGCTTTTTCCTTCTTCATCCCATTTTTGTTTATTTTCGTTCTTTTTCTTCCACTTCCTGTTCTTTTTTAAACTTTTTTCTTGTATTTTTGTATTTATTTATACCCTTAACCTCTTTTGTCTTTCTTCTTTTCTTTATCTTTACTTTTCTTACTCTTTTCTTCGATATCATCTTAATTTCTTTATATACTTCAAATCATTTATTTATTTATTTATAATTGTATTTTTAATATAGATTTTCTAAGCATCATCAAATTTGATACCTAAGTAAAAATGGTTCATTTCACTTTCATATAATGTCTTGCATATAATGATGTTATTTCAACACTTTTTACCTTTGAGCTATTTTAATATGTGTGTTATTCTTGGTTATATTTCAAGAATTATTTACCTTTGCCTACTGCAAAATATTTTCTCTCATCATAAATTACCGGTTATTTTTTTATTTCCACTTTAGTAGACAGAGCTAGTATTCCACATGATCTGATTGAAATTCAGTAATTTACATTCTTGGAGGCAAATTATTATTTACAAGATTATTTTTTAAAATCAAAAAGTTCGAGAATCATTTGCATTTCATAGTAGTTTACATATACAAATTTAGTCCTTAAGTTCACGCATGTTATTTTTCATCTTAGGAACTGGAGTAGATGGTGATGTCTGTGATACTGAGCAGGGAACTTTGGGTCCCTACTGACATTAGTTTAACTTTCTTTCTTGTTCGCTTTCTTCTTAATTTCTTCTTACTTGCTTCTTTCTCCTTCTCTCTTTCGTTTTCTCTTTCTTACGTAGTTTTCAAGTTTTTCATTCGTTTCTTGCTGGATTTATTTCCTTTTTTTTCCTTCTTTTTTGTACCTTATCTTTCTTCTTGCTTGGTCTATCTCTTTCTTTCTATTAAATAATCATTTTATCTTAAGGCTTTAGTTAACTCATACTAACCTTCATATGTTATAGTCTTTTTGTATGACTTGATTGCTTTTCTTTCTTTCCTTCCATTCTAATAATCATTCTGTCCAATGACAATCGGTTATATATATATATATATATATATATATATATATATATATATATATATATATGAAGAAAAATATATTGAAAAACAAAAATCTGAATATGCAAATATGCAAATATGTTGTTTTAATGTTATTTCAATGTCGACGTCAGACGTTTCGGTCTAGTAGACCTTCTTCAGGACATAGTTATTAAAACATAATTAACATTAGACAATATTCAAGTCAACATGAAAAGACGATAGACATAAGAGTAAGACTAATCAAAACAGAATAACTGAAATTTTTAATGTTAATTATGTTTTAATAACTATGTTCTGAAGAAGGTCTACTAGACCGAAACGTCTGACATCGACATTGAAATGGCATTAAAACAGCATATTTGCATATTTGGATTTTTGTTTTTTCATATATTTTTCTTCATACTGTCGGATCTATATGCATATATTTGCTTACATATATATATATATATATATATATATATATATATATATATATATATATATATATATATAGTTTATGAAAACTAGGTAATCCGTATGGGTAAACCTAAGGAGGATAAAATACAGAGAGCTCAATTGGGTAATGATATGTAATTTTTTTTTATTTTTATATATCAAGAACAGTTTTAGGGAAAAGGTGTTTGATAAAGTGGAAAAAAGTTTCCATGTGATGCGTTTCGTCCTTTAGGACTTCATAGGACTAAATATATTTACGTTGGAGAGATACCGGAAATTTTCAATTATTTTCATGTGTTTTCGATATATAATCTAGCCAATTTCATTTAGATTATTTGTTCTTTTTCTTTCCTTTACCTTTGTTATGAGATAACCCACACTATGATAACTGAAGCTGGGGAAATGTTGTAAGAACTTGGGCGCAAATTTACTGTGAAAGATCTAGGCACTCTTTAAACATTTTCATCTTATGGAATTGTTTTCTACTTTGATCAGAGTAGCATTTTATATCAAAATTGTGGTCAATCTCGTTACAGTGAACAACTAATACATTTAATGTGTTATTCTATACAATGTCCCTTTTGTGTTCATATAACATTCCTTGATTCTTATATATTTTTGCGACAATTATTACAAGTAATAAAGTAAATCCCTAAGTTTTAGCTTATTGTTTTGTTTTGTATTGACTAAGTCATTTATTATTTTAGATATAGCTGCAACAAATTTTATGTTGAATTGCGATAAATGCTTTTCAATTGTAGTTGTGATAGAGTTAGTTGGTAGGACAATACATTTTTTTGAGTCACTGGATTTGACAGAAGGACTCGTTTTTCTATTTTGAAAAATTTAAAAACCTTTTGTTTCGCATTGAATATAAAATAGAATTAGCTTGAAAGTGTTTTCAAAGTATTGGTCTTAATTAGAATTATATGCGTTTGCGTATACATATATTTTACCCAAATCGTACAAAAAATCTTTTTATTTCAACTTTTCTATAACCTGCTTTCTTTCCCCTAACCTTTGCTTCTTTCATTTTCCCATCATCGTAACGTAGCTTCACGGTGTCTTTACGATAAATATATCCATGGAAATTGTTCTGATGTGCTTTCCTCTTTGGTGCCTTGACTATAGGAATATAAGTATACTACTAGTTTGGCGGCAAGGTTTCATCCTTTTACAGATGAAATGCCTAGATGTAACCGTAAGTTCTATGCTAACAGTTTCTTCTCACGCAATTCTCGCTTATGAAACTCTTTCTCAGTATTTTTCTTTCTAGTCAACTTTGATCTTTAAAAATTTAAATCCAGTATATTCCATGGTTATAATTTATTACGTTGAAATCGTAATCACGATCCAATTCATCAGACCTACAAATTCGAAAAGAAAACAGAAAAATTTTTTTTTTGTTTTCTTAGTGCTTGATATTATATTCTTATTCTGTCTTTGATATAGAGCTCTACCTTGATGTTATCCTCTTGATATATATAATATATATATATATATATATATATATATATATATATATATATATATATATATGTGTGTGTGTGTGTGTGTGTGTGTGTGTGTGTGTGCGTGTGCATATGTTTAAATAATACTATTAAAATTATTTGGGTATTGAGATGTGTGTTTTTTCAAGTAACATACTTACGACATTGTGCCACACTTAATATCTTTTTTTTTAAAGCGATCACATATTCTTATGGAAATTGAGAGAAGTGAGATTTCTTTAAAAACTCACCTAACGCCCATTCATTTCCATTCTGTCTTCATTTTTATCCGTTTCTGTCATTTATCGCCTCCCGATACCACAAAATTTTCTTTTCTTTCATTCTTGTCTGTCTTTTTTCTTTTCTTTTTTTTTAGGTGAATTTATTTCCTGTGTTTGATGCATTTAAACCAGTCTGAAGATGCAGTGTATACCAACTGCAGTAATAAATTTAAGTTTTTAACTGAAAAATTCAAATGTGAGATTTTTTCTTTGATATTTATATATATATATATATATATATATATATATATATATATATATATAAAGACTAAAAGAAAACTTAGCTGATGCATTTCCTACCCCTGCCTTGAGAGCCGACCCTTTTCGTCCTACTCTAAGATAATTTTTCCTTTTGTCTTTATTCATATTGTCCTGTTACATATATACTCTATTTGATATATATATATATATATATATATATATATATATATATATATATATATATACCTCCTTTACCTGCCCTTATTTTATAATGAAGCATATCCTTTCTGTATTTCACACCTTTTTTCCTTGTATTTCAGCTGAAAATATTTTGTTTCTTGATTTTATTTTATTTTTCCACTCAAGAAAAACAATCAGTGTACTTTTCTTCTATTACTGTACAAATTTTCTATTTTGTGCCATTGATACCAGTCACAATCACTTTTCTTCTCGCAACTCCTTACTTCATATCTATCAACCATTCTCTCATCTCTTTACTCATAACTCTATATATCTCTCAGTTTCTTTCTATCTCTCTCCCTCCCTCTTGCTCTCCATTATTTCCCTCTCTTTCTCTCTCTTTAACCCCCCTCTTTCTATCACAATAGCTCGTTCAATCAATTGTTTTCCTCTCACATCAGTTTGGAAATTCTATATCCGCTGGCTCATTTATCTTGTTTCGTTCAATTCACCCCAACATTCATTAAGATTTCCTCTGTTGATAAAGAATTGGCGACTCTTTCGTCTGACAGGGGTGAATTGCTTGTAAATAATGTTCTTTCGTGCAACAAGATATGAATGTTGAAAAACTCACTTAAAAGCCTGCTTTTAGGCGGGAACTTAATACAAATAAAACCTTGGTTCGTTTCACCTGTAAAAAGGGGCTATTTCTTATGCATTATCGATATTTACTAATATGAAGCAAATAAAAGAAATAAAATCTAATTACGAAAATGCAGAGAGGAATCGTGTGTTAAGCCAATCTTTCAAAGGAAGAAAATAATACTTGTCTGAAAAATCAGTATTCAAAATATTAGCTTTTAAGTGGGTCCGAACCTGGGTAAATATGATGAAAATAACTGTTAGTCACATTGTAAATCACTTAGATTAATTTTCCTCGTGCCTTTTCTATAAATATTTTCACGATAATTGTTCTGATGAACTTTCCTCTTTGTTACCTTGACATTATGAATTTAAGCGCAATACTGGATTGGCATCCACGTCTCACAATTTTGCAGTTGAAATGGCTAGATGTAACCGTAAGTTCAATGATAGTCACTTCTCTACCACTTGTCACTTGTGGAACTATTTTCTGACTTCTTGCTTTTCAGTCAAATTTGATCTTCAAAAATTTAAATGCAAAATCAATCTCTATCTTCTATCTTTATCTTCTATCTTCTTAATTCTTGTTATTTTATTGTTCTTTCTTCTTAATAATGTTATTTTCTCATATACTCACAAACTCCGTAGCTCCTTGTGCCTTAGTGGCATTGTTACCTTGTTTGAGGTGAAATATAAAAAAACTGTCTCAATAAAAAGAAAAAGGACAAAACTAATTTTTTTCATGAATCGTTGACATGAAGATAACCTATCTACTTGAAAAAGGGCATTCAAAAATGTATATTTCTTTTAATCGCGAAACCCTGCCACTGTGACCGTAGCAAAATAACACGGTTATATCAATCAAGATGCACGTAAAATGTGAATAAATCATATTTAAATTTTAATTTGATGTTCATATTTTTTAAATGTTTAGTTTTATTGGTTTATTTTCCGTTTAATCGAAAAGTGAAATATACATTAATTTCACCTGAATATTTTAATGGAACTAAACGGCAAGGTAATTGTTTTCTTTTTCGGCTTAAATCAATTTTTGTATTATTTAAGAACCAAACAATAACTTGAGAGTCTATTTTTCAAAGCACGTAATAGTGAAAATAAATAAATATTACTCTTTCTTCGACCAATTCTAATATTTCAAATTAGTAGATCTGTATGCATCTTTGTAATACACTGTCATGCATTTAAAATACTTAAATATCGCTTAGTTTGGCTAGATTTTTTTAACGGCGTGTCAAACCGGATGCCATTTTACGTCAACCAGATGAATACATATATTGCATATACATATATTTATTTCTTTTTTCCTATATTTGCAGAAGCTCAATTTAGTAGCTCTAATTACTTTTAAATCGATTTTTTAATCTGTTAATTGGGACCCTTTAAATCAGCCCTTTTATATACCTATAATTTTTTAAAGTTTTTAAAGGAATTTAAAAATTCATATTACTTTTTAAAATAATCTGGAGAGGGACATACTTTTTACAACTGTGACATTGTAGTATTTACTACGTTTAATCTGGAAGCTTTTCATTTAATCTGTGATTGCAATGGAGACATCAAGAGATATTTTCAGCTCTTAATTAGTTTTGTATGTCCAATACGAACTCTATTTCGGACGATGTCCTCTCTTCGCCCTTTTAGTATTTTTGTGTTTTCCTGTCTAACGCTTGGTTTTTGTAAAGTTTTTTTTTTCTTGGAATGTGCCTCTTATAGTTTTCTATGTTCTTTTTATAATCTGTATACGGAATTTTTATATTATTTCCGTGTTAGATTTTTTTTTGTAAATTCATCTATTTACTTAAATGCCATGCGTGATACACGATTAGGCGATTATGTATCTTTCGATACATGACTGACGAAGCAGAGTTTTTCCCGCAGTAGATTACCATTTCTTTCTGCGGTAGAGCAGTTGCAATCCAAGGCTATAGAACTCGGTCTGACTTGCTATTTACCCATAGCTGGGGGAGAAGAAGAAGAGGATTCATACCTTTCCCAAGGGTATTAGCATGTAAGTGAATGTAATGGTTTCGACTGGAATTCGAACTCGGCTCTTCGATTCCTCAATCCGAGCCGCTATCCATTATTTCCTTTCTCATTACCCCTTATGCCGACATGGCCTGGTATCTATGTTAAATTAAAGTTTTTTTTTTTATAATTTCACCAGGTGTTATAAATCTCCAGCATGTCTGTAATGTAAGGGTTGTTAGTTGCTTTTACTTTTAGGGCAACTAGAGAGGATGGGTAGTTCGTAAATATTACAAGCTGCTGCTCTACCAAGCTTCTTATAAGATCAAAGGCCATCCTCAGAGCTTACAGTTCTACTGTAAAAACAGAAGTATCATCAGACAATCTCATTTGCTTTTTGTTACAACTATCCGTAGCAGCAATACCCAGTTTATTTAAAACTTCGGATTCATCTGTATAAATTACACTATAGGTATTTTTTTTTTACTTCTCCAAATTTATTTTATTATTCACTTTTATATAGGGATTGTAAATTTCGCACAGTATAGCAAAACAAATGTGAGTCATAGGTGGGAGTACATTGCTCTTAAAAACATTTATGTTGCTAAAAATAAGCTAGCTCGCCCAGTTGTTGTACTGAATATATTCTTTTTTTATGGCTCAATTAAATTTGTGAAAACGTATAAACATAGCATAAAGAATTGGATTATGGATATCTTTTTTTAGATAGTATGTGTTTACTTTCTCTTTATAAAGAATTTAAATATGAGTTTCAGTCTTCCATCAACATAACATTTTGTTTACATTAACGTTTCTTTCGCAAGCAGTATTTTCAACTTAGTTTCAGTACTGATTTGAAAAAAAGCTATTCTATACACTAAATGCACTATCCATTAAGAAAATATACGTTCAGCGGTTAATTTAATATAATATTTCCATTCCGGTCAGCGAAAACATTAGCCCGAGAAGTCACAACAGAATTGCTCACTTGGAGGTTAGCATCAACCATGTTGATGTAAGGAAGCTAATATTCATTCTAAGCTTATGAACAGTGATATCCATTTTAATATAAATATCTCTATTCAACTCTCTATATATGTTTAATTATCATAATAACGCATATATAGTAAACTATACAACCTGTATATAAATAAAGGTATCTTTCATGTCTGAACATAATTGATAATTGAACTCATAACTATTGCAGGCAATGATCTGGGAAACTAGTCCACTCCTAAATGCTGTAAAGTGGTGCTTCTTTTGTTAAGATTGTATTAGTTTAGTGCAGAACACCTAGTGAAAATTTTAATTTCCAACACCCACAGAGATCTGCGAGATTAACCAATTCTTTTTGCCTTTTTGTTAAGTGTAGATATTTACTGGAGACAAGGACACAGAAATGGAGCTTTCAATAAAGGACATACTCAAAACAATAGAAATGGTCTTCGAGATAAACATTTGTTATCACCCGCCGATAGGCGCTTGATAATATAAGTAGTTAGACATATAGCAATGAACAGGTACTTAGAACAGGTACTTTTTACTTAGAAGTGATAATATATAATAAATATAGGATTATTTTATTCTTCATTGGTTTATAGGTGTTCATCTTCTCGATATTTATCTGAAAATATAGTTAATCTTAACACTTCTGTATTTATTCAATACTCTTTTAGAAGTAATATACCTAAAAGTTATTATTTTATATAAATAGGTATATGTATTAATAGACACTCTTTTCAAATCAGTTATTAATATTGGATTCCGGTAAATACTTCATAATGAATCACAGACGTCTATAGCATACAGTAAGCAGTCATTAAAAATGTGACTGAAAAAGAATATGCTATATTCAAGACAGGAATTAAATTTCAAAATCGAATAAAATTACATTAATTCACAAGCGTTTCATTCTTTATGAAGAGTAAAACCCATGAATTAAAAGCTATATTTTGGTAACTATTTGGGCTAACTTGTCAGTATACATTTAAAAAATTCAGAATGTAATTCCTTTTATAAAATGCATGTGTGCTCCATATTATAAGATAAATGTTTGCAGAAGCTCATTCCCAGGCAACATACAGTTCTGCAAATTTTTAAATCTTAGGCCCTAGTCCACAGATTTATTTATAAAGATAGATTATAAGTTTGGGTTCCAAAAAGTTAACTCTTTGGATTTATTAAATGTAATATTCCTACGATTATGTTTTAGATTGTTTTCATTTTAAAAAGTCTTTGATATTGTTTATATTATATATGTTAATTGTTTTCTGATAACATTTTCCTTTTTGGTGCAATTGCACGCACGATTATGAAATTGCTATTATACTTATCGACTGATTCCGTCTTGCATTTTTCTTTTCTTCTTTGTGAAAATATAAAAAAACTACAATGTTAAAATATAAGTATCTGATTGAACGCACTTATATTCAACTACACATAAATCATGAATAAAACTAAAAATTTATCTTTAAATACCATTCTTAAACTTTGAAAATATTTCTTAAAGGTCCTACGTTTTATCTGACAAACGATGTATTAATATTTTAAATAAAATTACCATAAAAAAATTAAAATAATAATCATCTAACATTGTTTTCAGCAGAATAATACTTTACTTTGTTTTTCATTTTATAATTTCCATTTACTGTTATTTATTTATTTGTTTGTTTTATTTATTTATTTATTTGTTTGTTCATTTATATATTTATTTTTACTTTTGAAGAATGTAAACACCTCTAAATACCATTCCCCTGAAAACATATTTATCATCAATAGATAACGCATTTGAATATTTTCCTTAGGTAGCTATAGAAAACTCATAGTCATTTT